TAGGATTAGGCAGCTGTTGTTGTTGTTATTCTTATTCTTATTACTATTAGGATTAGTCTCCCAGAATGCCAATCCATGAAAGTTTTGAGAGAGAGGTTAGAGGTTTCAAAAAGCTGAGTGGTTTAAAAGAAAGAGCTGTGAAAGAACAAAACGAATTTGGGAGATGTGATGCCATACATAATCCTTAGTTTGAGAGACATTCTCTGAGAATACAGTAATAGAATTTGATGAAGATCTCTTTATACCTGGAGAAATCAAAATATCCCTGCAGAAGTGCCTGATTCACTTTGCCATATCTTGTCAAAGATATGTCCTACTAGAATGACAAAACTGGGGGCAAAGTTTGGAAAGAAGGGGGTGGAGGATATTTATATATCCTGTATCTATTCAACCCATGTCCCTCTTCATGGGAGAAGAAAAAAAATGTTACAATGAAAGTATTCCTTCGTTTCAAGAAGTGTCCTGCTCTGTACAGAGCATGCTAATCATCAATCAATTGCAGATCTTCAACACTAGCACGCAGGTATAAATTTCAAAATGACTTCCACTGAGATTCAGATTGGTTGAGGTTACATGCATTAAGCCATGGTTTGTATAATTATGACTAGACAACAATTTGGCTAGGTTCACACAATATATGTATTTATATATTTACTAACTAACTATATTTATATCCTGCATTTGTCCAACTCTAGGATAATGTTCCCTCCTCCTGTTTTCCTCACAGCCAAAACCCTCTAAGATGAGCTACGCTGGGAGAGTGACTGACCCAAAGTCACCCAGCTGGCTTTCACGCCTAAGGCAGGATTCATGGTCTCCCAGATTCTAATCTACACCTTAACCACTATGCCAAACTGGCTTTCTAAAGAAAGTGAAGTAAACTGCTTTTATGCCAAACAAAAACCAAAGAAGCCACATTATCACTTCTCATGCTGTGTGAAACTGGTCAATGTGTAGCCCAGGATTGTACCTCTCTGGTCTCATGTCACAAATACTTGAAACACAAAAGAACTCTGCTGATGGGAAGGGTAGGAGGAGAGGCATTTAGTCACACATAAGGAGCACACTGTATAAAATGATCTATCCCAGAACACTCAGAGGCTAATGCAGTGAAGGGCATTGTTTTGATACACAATTTTACACTCTCTCATAATGTGT